TTTTTCCTGTAATGCCTGTAATTTATTAGCTCTTCATTCTCTTCATCACTGTCTTCACTGCTTGTTCTGCTAACATCCAAAACTATATCCCTTTTGGGGTCTACTTGGAGAAAATTGCAACATTTGAAATTTAGGTGACCAGGGTAGCCACATTTTTTACAGCCTGCTCTGACATTGTCCTTGTTGCAACCTGGGACTGCCACTGTGCTGGTGAAAGGGATTGCTGAGGCCCTTAACTTTCGGAAATATGTTTGCTTCCTGTTGACTGCAAAGACAACACACAGATAGGTCTCCGGTGCCCGCACCTCCGCAGCTTTGTGACCGTAGGGGAAAGGCCTATAAACACCAAGCAATGGTTTTTATTTTTTAAAGACAGTACAAGATAATATTAAAATAGAAAATTACAAGTGATTCAGAATTTCACTTAACAAAATAATATGAATTTCAGAGTATTAGTTGTAATGCATAGTGTTGTCTTCCAACTAGTTATTCATATTACCAGATATATGCATGCAAAATTGGAAGAAGAAAAAAAAACAAGGAAATATATAAGAAATTAAGAAAAAAGGACAAACAATTGAAAAAAGGAGACAAAACAAATTAAACATTAACTTCTTTTCAGAGACCAGCAGAAATCCACAGTATAGTTGTCCAAAATATCCTGCTTACATACGTAGATATATCTCTCCCACACTCTCTCCTGTCCTTCTCCTCAACTCAGTAACTCTATCATTTTGAATAAGTTCATTCCTTTTTTTCAGTATGTATTGTACCCTTCAGATTCCCATTTTCTCTTATAGGTTCTCACACCAAGGAGACAATTTGATGTTTGCGCAAGTGGGTCTAATTTCACTTGAGTATTGTCTCTAGTTTCATTCATTTACCAACAAAAGACTCAAATCTATCCTGTTTTACAGCTGAATACTATTCCATTGTGTAAAAATACTTCATCTTCTTTATCCATTCCTCAGTTGGTGGGCATCTGGGTTGTTTCTTGGGTTTAGCTATGACAAATTGTGCTGCTCTGAACATGGCTACACATATATTACTGTGGTATGATATTTTCAGTTCTTCTGGAAAAATACCCAGGAGAGGAATACCTGGCTCAAATAGGACCTACAATCCTAGCTTTTTCAGGAATCTCCATACTGATTTCTATAGTGGTTATGTGAGGCCCTTCTATTCTGCACACCGAACAGTGCAGAAGGGTTGCTTTTTCTTCACCACCCCCCAGCATTTGTTATTGGTTGTCTTCTTTGTGTTAGCCATTCTTTTTGGGGTGGGGTAGAATCTCAGTGTTGTTTTAATTTACATTTCTCAAATGACCAATGTTGTTGAACATTTTTTCATATATTTACTTACCATTTGTATTTCTTCATCTGACAAGTATATATTCATCTTAGATGCCCAGTTTTGGATTGGGTCTCAGAATTTGGAGGACTTAATTTTTAAAATTCTTTGTATATTCTAGATAGAAGGCCTTTGTTAGAGGGACAGTCACCCATAATATTTTCTGTTTGTGGGTTTACTTTCACTCTGTTGGAGATTTTCTTTGAATTGAAGAAACTTTTCAAAAAGATGAGATCCCAGTTGTTGATTCTTTGGAGTATGTCCTATCCAGTTTGAGTTTTCTTCATGAACCCCTAACCTACCTGTATGTTTTTAAAAATTTCTACCTGCATTTTCCTCCACGAGATTTAGTATTTTTGTTTTAATATGTAAGTCTTTGATCATTTTGACTGTGTTTAGTGCATGATGATAGATATGAGTCTAAGTTTAGCCTTCAACATGTAGAAAGCCAGTTTGAAAAATATTATTAATAATACATATTTAATGGCTTCAGAAAGTTCCTGGGTAGTAAAACCAAACAATTACCATAATGACTTGAGTGATCCTGTGGTCTTTCATATCAGAAAATCTGGAGTTCTGGTCAGTTCTTTTTAGGTATGGAGCAAAGCATAGGTTTTTTGAACAATCTTAACGACCATCCCTGCAGTTTGAAGCTTCATTTTCACATGCTTTTGAGTGTAATTTCCTTTGTTACTGTTTTTCTCTCACATTATTTCAGCCCTTCTTTCATTAGACCAGTATTATGGCGTTAACTAGGTCCTATCGGGTTCTGGTCCAGAGCACTCCTGGCATTTCTATAATGTAGTGCTCTTGTGAAGCAGTAGATGTTATGGGGCAACACAGAGTTCATAGACATCTGAAAGTTGTAAAGTGATTTATAAATATTTCTTATTTATGCAGATGTTGACTTACATGTCTAACTTATTGAATTGTAAGCAACTTGATATTTAGGGTCATTGTTAATTCCTTTTATAATTTTATGAAATATGGTAGCAGCTCAGTGTTTGTGAAAAGATTAAGTTTGTTTACTTACAGTGTAGAAAATAACACGAAGATATACAAGTGTAAAAGCCAGTGCTAATGTGATTATCTCTGGGTGGTATACAATGAGAGGTGCCAAAATTTTTCTGTCTGGTATTATTATTATTATTATTATTATTATTATTATTCTTTTTTTAGGATTATTTGTCTATGGGTAAGGATTTCAAAATAAATGATAAACTACTTAATATTTAAACTGATTTGTAAAATGTCAAGAGAGTTATCTTCTATAGGTATATCCAAATTAAGAAAAACTCACTTTAAACTGACTAGGTATTGTTTTTAAGACAGAGAAAAAGAACCAATGTATTATTTTCATAAACAATATTTTTTTCTTTCACAATTATCTATGTTTATATGTGTGAGTCTGCTTTATTTTACTTAATGAGTATAGCCTCTAATTGCATCCATTTACCAATAAAAGCCTCAAATTTATCTTTCTTGGGTATTTTTTCCAGAAGAAATAAAAAACATACCACATCAATGTATGGTTTATAACAGCACAATTTGTCATAGCTAAATCTTGGAAACAACACAAACTTAAATTGACTAGGTTTTATCATTTCAGTATTCTGTTCAGTCTTTATTTGTGGAAATGAAAACACAAGCTACAAATCAATTTCTATAACTGAGTAGTGATGCACATCTGCTTTCAGGACCAGGTTAATAACATCTGTATTTATTTTCTTACAGTATTATCAGAAAATCCACCCAGCTTCACTATTACTGTGACATCTGATGCTGGAGAAAATGATGAAGGTAAGTGTGAGAGAATACACTTAGGATTTTTCTGAGCTTCTGTCTCAGGAGTTTCACTTGTTCCACAGCATCTTGCTGGACCTGGCAAGTGTGGGCTTTCTAAGGTGCTGTTAAGAACCTAGCATGAGTGTTAATATTGGTGTTCTGTGTTTACTATGTCACCATGATTCCTTAAGAAATGGGAAGCCAAGAAGATACAGTCTGGCACAGTATTCTTGGTTTTTAAAAGTGAAGTAGAGGGGCTGGGGAGTTGGCTCAGTGGAATAAGCGCTTCCCTGGCAAGCGCAA